GGAAGCTCGGGCTTCCCGGCCAATAGACTGTGGCTGCAGGAAGCAGAGGAGGCTAAATGGGGGTGAAGAAGGGTAGGGGTGGGAAAGCCTAGATCATGGGTTACCAGTTGTTCTGTCTTCTGCTGGAAGCTCCAAGAAGCTGCTTTCTCATACCTCCTGTTGGCTGATCTCTGACAGGAGTCCATGATGGCAGATCAATGCTGTGGTAGCTGATAGAGGACCTCTGCATGTATCTCTCCTTATTCCATTTGGTGCTTGGCTGAGTTCTTTATCTCTTTATTTGACGGTTAGGGTTTCAAGATTGATGTGTGACCCTGTTTGACTTAGTTTTTCTGATCTTTGCTGCGGGGGGATGGGGCGGTGTTTCTGACTACAGCGCCATGTTGCCTGGAAGTAGAAAATAAATTTAAGCTTGATCTTGTTTCATTCCTCCCTCTCTTCCTTCCTTCTTCCTGTAGCAAGATGTGCGAACGCAGGTACATGGTATTATGTGGAGGTTAGAAATTTATAGAGAGATTGTCAAGCAGTTAACTGTCCTGCAAGAGAAATTTCTGGAAGAGACATTTCAGTTCCAACCTTCGCTCATACTAGATATGAGATGTTGATTAAGTCACTTAACCATCTCACTAGTCAATGTTTCCAAAAAAAACCCACTGCCGTCGAGTCAATTCCGACTCATAGGGACCCTATAGGACAGACTGGAACTACCCCATAAGGTTTCCAAGGAGCAGCTGGTGAATTCCAACTGCCAGCCTTCTGGTTAGTAGCCAAATGCTTAACCACTGTCACACCAGGACTCCAGTCAATGTTTACTCATTTGTAAAATAAAGGGTTTGGTAGATGAGTTCTAAGATTTGTTTCAGTTTTAAATACTAGTAGCTTGTATTTATTTCTGGAGAGGCATAAATTGACACCCAATTTAAATGTGTTATTAAAAAGGATCCTATCTTTTTAATGCTAAATTCACTCTGTGGGAAAAGTGTGAAATATTATTCAATTTGAAAATGATATTTTACATTTTGAGTAGATGTCTTGGTCCAAGTATTTTGCTACGTTCTAAATTCTGTTAAATGAAATCAAAATAAAGTAGTGTGGTTGACAAAATGGCATTGGCAGTGGAGTGGACAACTCCCATAAGACTTGTCTGTACCAAGATTTAAGCCTAGCTCGGCTGCTAACCAAAAGGTCAGCAGTTCAAATCCACCAGCTGCTCCTTGGAAACCCTATGGGCCAGTTCTACTCTGTCCTAGTGGGTCACTATGAGTCTGAATCGACTCAAGGGCAATGGGTTTGGTTTTTCCTGTACATCGGGCCACCCTTGTTGGCCAATGAGATCCTGACAGCTCTTCCACCCCCGCCTGCACCCCCTTCCCTTGACCAATGAAATCCTGACTGCCCCTTAAGAGTGAATTGTATAGGCCAATTAGAAATAAACTTCTTTACTTCCGTGTTTTGTCAATAAAAAGCCAGTTACTGCTGATACTTGGAGGTGTACCTTTCCAATTTTGGTTTGGTGTTACCTGATTCTCCTCCTTGAATAAACCTCATGCAATAAATTAATTTTATTATGGACTCTGTTTCTTTGACAGTTCTATAATCAGGGATGGCTTCACGGGTGTGTGACCTCGGCAGTTGCACAGGGCCCCGTGTTTGGTTTAATGCTCTGCTCTTTCAGTCTTGAAATTATTAATAATTTTTTAATAAGAGGCCTGCATTTTCATTTTGCTCCAGGCAGGAAATTACGTAGACGGCTCTGGCTACAAGTTATAATTTACAGTTTAATTTCTAGTCCCCATACTCTCTCTGTCTTGGAAGAAGTACAACCAGAATACTCCTTAGAAACAAGGGCGGTGAGACTACGTATTACATACATTGGACATGTTGTCAGGAGGGATCAGTCCCTGGAGAAGGACATCATGCTTGGTAAAGTACAGGGTCAGTGAAAAAGAGGAAGACCCTCAACAAGATGGATTGACACAGTGGCTGCAACAATGGGCTCAAGCATAACAATGAGTGTGAGGATGGAGCAGGACGCGGCCGTGTTTCGTTCTGTGGTGCATAGGGTTGCTATGAGTTGGAACCGACTCGACAGCATCTAACAACCATAACAATGTACTCTCCCTTTTTTAATGTGGGAACATACATAGACCTCTTTTCTCTGCCCCCATTCTAAGTTTTATGTTGCATAAAACTAGGAAGGACTGCTTGCTAGCCTGTAAGACTACAGTGTGCCCTGCCGAATATGAAAAGGACGCACAGCACCTGCCTTTGGCTTCAAAGAGTAGAGGCTCCATCCGTCTGCCTCAGCCATCTGTAGGGGCTTCTGGTCACGGGTGCTTCCCATATCAAGGCAAATGTCTGTCTAGCAAGCTGCAGAGAGGACTCGCGAAAAGATAAATAGCCTTCCTTTTAAAAATTAGTCTGTCAGGTCGAGAAACGGCCAGTTCTGTGAAATCCACAAGCCCCATGCTCCTCCTTACTTGTGTTGTTGAGCATTCATTTCCTCAAGGTTTGCCAGTGTTTCCTTCAAGCAGGTGCTTGACCTCCCTGTTTCAGGAGTCTCTAAAGGGTAGTAAGGAGAGAACTGCTCAGACACAGGCTCTGAATGCTATCAATGCTTGTGATGATGACTCAGCTTCAAAATATACTTCTGATCTCTCACTTTGTGTGTGCTGTCATTATGCTAGGCGCCGAGGACACAGCCGTGAGCAAACAGTGACAACGAGCTAATTCCAATTTATCGCCGTATCACAGCCGTCGTGGATCTATTTCCTCTCCTGAGAATGGGAATAATACTCACCACACTGAGTTAATGTGAGGATATAGGTGATAATAAAGTGACAGGATAAGGAGCCCTGGTGACACAGTGGTTAAGCACTGGGCTGCTACTTGAAAGATCTGCCTATCTGTGGGGGAAGGATGTGGCAGTCTGCTTCCCTAGTAAAGATTATAGCCTTGGAAATTCTATGGAGCAATTCTACTCTGTCCTACAGAGTTACTATGAGACAGAATCACTCGATTTCAACGGTCTTTTTTTTGTTGTTTAAGTGGGGGGCACTTTCAAGAACTACTTCGTGTAGAGTATTTGCAAGGTGCAATGTGGGAATATGATTAAAAAACAAACGAAATTGTTTCTGGAGATAATATGGAAGTCGTTTCCCCAATCGTTGTTGTGTGCCTGAAGTGGATTTTCAACTCATGCCAACCCCACGTGACAGAGTAACTGCCTTACAGAGTTTTCTAGGCTGTAATCTTTAAGCCTGAGCCGTGGTGGCCCAATGGTTAAGAGTTTAGCAGCTAACCAAAACATCAGCAGTTTGAATCACCCAGACGCTCCTTGGAAAACCCTATGGTGCAGTTCTACTGTCTTAACAGGTTCGCTGAGTCCACTTGACGGCAATGGGTTTGCTTTGGAATCTTTAAGCCAACAGGAACAGCTTAAAAGAAAGAACTTTTAAGTGATTTATCGTTTCTCCTCAATTTTTCAAATAGCCTAACATGAAGCCCAGCGCAGCGCCCCTCCTTGGACCAGTCATCGATGGAAATGCCAGCTGGATGGAGATGCTAACAGAGAGAAAACTGCTCTCAAAGACTGCCAGCGTCTGTCCGTTCAGCGCTTCCCGCCACGCGTTCCCTTTTGCTCTTCCCACGCCTGCTTCGCCCCAGAGCCCGCGAAGACCAGCCGCGTAGACCCAGCACCAGCCGCAGGCTCCCGCGTAATCCCGGCCGCAGCAGCCAAGCGACGTTTGGAAGGGACGCGAGTGCAGCAGAGAGGGTGGGGCCAGGCTGGAGTGGGCGGGGCCAGGTGGGGCGGAGCCCCGGGAGCACCCGAGAGAGGCGAGCCCGGGTCAAGATGGGAGGGGGGTGACCAGGGCGTGGCCGGGGCGTAGCACCCGGGTGGGCGGAGCTTCAGGAGCGGCGGAGAAGGTCGAGGTCCGGCCCAGAGTGCGGGGGCCGAGGGGCTCTAGGGGACGGAGCCCGGACGGGGCGGGCCTTGCGCGGTGGCGGGCACCTCCGGGCGCAGTGAGGGAAGGCGGGGCGGGGCCGGGCCGAGGTGGGCGGGGCCGGAGGGGCGGGTATCGCGGCGTGCTGGGTCAGAATCCCGCCTCTTTATCCTCGGCCGCGGGCCCGCCCGAGCGCTGCACTGCCTCCCGGAGCCCGGACGCGGCGCCCCAGAGGAGGAGGGCGAAAGGACGCGGTGATGGCTCCACGGGGACTCCCCGGCTCAGCCGTCCTCGCCGCTGCTGTCTTCGTGGGAGGCACCGCGAGCTCGGCGCTGGAGGCCCCGGGTGAGTGCCTGTCCGGACTGGGGCGGCCGGTGCAGAATTCGGTCCTGGGCGAGCGGGGCGGAAGGCGAGGGGTCGGGACCGCAGCTCCACTGTGCCGTGGGCTGTCGCGTCCTGGCGCTGCCGCGGGACCCGGCGCTACACATCTGGCTGCCTCAGAGTGGCCCGGACGGGACGCGGCGCGTGGCGATAGCTCCCGTCCTGCCCCTCCCGCCTGCCCAGCTCCTGCCTTCCCTCCTCCTGGCGCCTCCTCGGAGGACTTGTGACTCCCACCCCCACAGCGGGCTGCTGAGAGTGTAGGGACCAGGCCTGCTCTAGGCTTCCTCGGGGGCGCTTCTGCCCCGGCCGCGCGCCTCGAAGCCCCTGTCCTCAAAGGCCCCACGAGCGGAAGATTGTGACACGGGATCGGGTGCGCTGCTACCGCCTCCCTCCCCCTGCCCCTTTTTTAGGTCTTAGAACCTTTCAGAGTTCAGTGTTTTCGCTTTCCAAGTTTTCATTTGTTTCAGTGGTTGATGAGATCTTGTGTAACAGGTTGGGGATATCAGATTTCTTCCCACAGATCCTAGATGAATCAAGCTGGGGGAGGGGAGGGGCGGGGAGGAAGGTGGGTTTGTAAACTTTTTTGTAGTTGTTCTTTGTGTCGATTCCTGTCACCACAAAAGGAACCGCCTGTGGTCAGGGCATGAAGCCACCAGCAGGGATGCTAAAGTGTTGTCCCCATCCTAGAAGTTTCCAACTGAATTCTTTTAAGAGGAATGGAGACGTCTGTGGACGCCTTGTTTCACACTCTTGTTTTTAAAACTACATACTCAGGGATTCCTTACCATCGGTCCCCTTCTTAATTGCCACCTCACAGCAGTAGTTGAAAAAATAAATAAATAAACTTAGACCTTTTTGGCCAGTTGGGGTTACCACAGCCTGGAATCTTATGTCAGCAAACTCTTCCAAGCTTGTCTTCACAGCAGCTCCTCTTGGGGTCCAAATAATAAGCAATTGGAAGCCTTCCGACTGTGACTAGCTCCTCCACAAAAATACACGCACTGCTCTTCGTTCCTGAGAAGATCCCAGTGGCTTACAGCTGATGGTGTTAAACTGGCTTATCACTTTGGCCTTCACTTTTTCATAGAAACTAGAGCAGGTTAGGAAGGGAACAAGATGCATACTATGTCCCCTGACTCTATATTAGCAGACCCGGGTTTCCTTCAGCCAGCCACCCTGGGGAAATGGCAGCTAGTGACATATGTTATTGATAGGAGATTTTGGTCTTCATCCTGCATTTCCTTGCCCTGACAGGTAGATGCATTGTTGCTGCTAGCTGACATCGAGTTGGCCCCGACTCATGGCGACCTCGTGCACAGCACAACCAGCTTGGACTGCTGTGATCCATAGGGTTTTTATTGGCTGATTTTCAGAAGTAGATTGCAAAGTCTGCCTTTCTAGTCTCCCTTAGTCTAGATGCTCTGCTGAAACCTGTTCAGCATCATAGCGGTATACAAGCCTCCACAAACCTCCAATGACAGATGGATAGTAGGTGTATAAAAACCAAACCTGTTGCCTTCAAGCTGTTTCCAACTCATAGCGACTCCATGTGTTACAGAGTAGAACTGCTCTGTAGGGTTTTCTTAGCCATAGTCTTTATGGACACAGATTGCCAGGCCTTTCTTCCTTGGCACTGGGTGAATTTGAACTACCAACTTTTAGGTTCGTAGTTGAGTACAAGCCATTTGCACCACTCACAGACCTTGGTAGGTGCATAACCAGGATCAAATTGAACCTCGAGGTTGCAGACAGTACTTAACCAAACCAAACCTGTTGCTGTTGAGTCGATTCCGACTCATAAAAACCAAAAGAACCAAACCCGTGTTGCTGTTGAGTCGATTCCGACTCATAGCAACCCTATAGGACAGAGTAGAACTGCCCCATAGAGTTTCCAAGGAACGCCTGGTGGATTTGAACTGCCAGCCTTTTGGTTAGCAGCCATAGCTCTTAACCACTATGCCACCAGGTTTTCTTCTGACTCATAGAGGGTGTAAAAATGGCGTGGGGGCGGTGTCTGACATCCTCTCACTTCACTAGGGGAAAGAGGGAATCATTATCAGCATCAGTGGCCCAAGGCTGATTCCTGTGAGGCAGAGAGAGATAAGATATAACTCCACCCTCCAACTGTCCCTCCCATGGCACTCTCGGCTGGGTTTGATAATTCGTTACAGTGGCCACACAGAACTCACAGACCATACTCACAGTTATGGGGTTTATTAGGGAAGTAACAGGTTACAGTTCAGGTTCAGGAATGCTCCAGATACAGTTCTTCCATTGAGATGGGCTCTTCTCAGCCCTGCTGCAGGCAGCCTTCTCTCTGGCCCTCGGTCCTCTGAGGGACCTCTTGGGCTGGCCTGGCCTCTGCCTTGCTCAGGCAAGTGTTACAAAACACTTGTACATCTGCTTATGAGTGCCCAGAGGCACCCCACTTCACCAGGAAGCCTTGGCCTGAAGGTGCTGAACTGTAGCTGGGTTAGCAAACCTAGCTCCACCAAGTGCCTAGAGGCACTCTACTCCACCAGCAATCCTCCTGCCCAAAGGCAGTCAGCTTTCTTGCTCCCTGGGCAGCTCACTGTGCTGTCTCCTGCCACTCTCCTAGTTCTGCTGCCTCTGCTGCTGCCATTTCTTTGCTGCTGCTTCACACCGTCTTGCAATCTTTGGTGTTACAGCTCTCTCTCTGTCTCGTGGGTCTAGGAGGGTGTAAGCGCAGGGATCCCAGGTCCAAAGGACACACTCCTCTCCTGTCTCTTCTTCTTGGTAGTAGTCAGGTCTTTTCTCTGCTCTGGAATTGGCTCTCTTGTAAGCCTAGCAGGATAAAACTAACCAATCCCCTCATTAGGGCTCCATACACCTTATTTGCATGGCCCTACTCTCACAAGGGTGCCATGCACCTTATTTACATTATTAGCAAGCTATCCAATCTCCTTGATTGGCCACAAGTGTCTCATTTGCATAGTCCCACCCAGTCCTGTTGTGGGCATTACAAGACCATGGCAAGAAAGGCCATATAAAAGCGATCCATTGTACCACAGAGGGCTAGTGTCAGTTGCCTCAGAATTTGGAGAAGATCTTAACTTGGGAGTAAAATTGTTAAAAATTCAGCACATGAGGAATGTAATCAGCCATCATCAGGAGAAATCCATCCTGAGAGTGGATTTCTGTTTAGATGGATCTCTGAGCTGAGCAACATGCAGGTCTCAGAACTGGAGTGTGACTGAAGAAAGCCCTCATCTAGTTGCACAGTAACCTTTTTGATGAAAGTTAGCTTAAGAAGAATGAGGTCTCTGAAAAAGGAAAGGGTACAGAGTACATATTTGCTGTGTCTTCGGTCCTGCGTGAAGAGAGGATGTCCTGACCAGCCAACATCTGGTCCCCTTTGACTCTAAAGACCATATTAATATTTGTAGCTTAGGGAAGTGAGGAGAACAGGATGGGAACTAATGTTAAGTGCTTGCTGTATGCCAGGCTTTGGGTTGGCCATTTTATATACTTTTTTTACACTTATTTCTCATAATACTATGAAGTACTTATTTCCAGTGAGGGAACTGAGGCCCAGAGAAGCTAAACACTTTGCTCATTACAACACAGCATATATCAGTCAGCGTTCAGTCAGAGAAGCAGAACCACTGAGGTGTGTGTGTATATCTTTATGTGTATCTTTATCTGGGATTCATAACCCAGCTTGCTTGATTCCAAAGTCTGTCCTCTTTCCACTGTACCCCACTTCTTCCTAGAGAGAAAACAACATAAATCAGCCTCAGCACTCTTGCTGAGATTCTAAACTACAGGTTTGTTGTTCGCTGCTGTGGAGCCAGCCCTGACTCATGGTGACCCCATGCACAACAGAACAAAATGCTGTCTGATCTGTTGTGGATCAAGCTGTTGTGATCCCTAGAGTTTTCACTGGCTGATTTTCAGAAGTAGATTGCCAGGCCTTTCTTCCTAGTCTATCAGTCTGGACACTCCACTGAAATCTGTTCAGCATCATAGCAACACACGAGTCTCCAATGACAGATGAGTGGTGGCTGCACATGAGGTGCATTGGTCAGGAATTGAACTCAGGTCTCCCACATGGAAAGGAAGAATTATACCACTGAACATCATAAAAACTGTAAGCACATTGTTATCAGAAGTTGTGAAATAAAGAAAAGGAGAACACATAACTTCATAGTAGGTAGTGATGATGTCTATTTTCATTTCCGGCCTAGTAAATGATCTTATTAAGCTTCTGTCTCTTAGTAGTAGCATTCAAAACTATACCACAGGCACGAGAAAGATGATTTTCCAAACCTTGGCTGATTTACACTGAAACCTATGAGAGTCAGAACTCAACGAGTTTTTCCGGGTCTTGCAAGTTTTCCACCTTTGACAGGGAGCAGTCTTACCACTTTTCTGTTGCTCGTTTTAGTGGGAAGTATTTAAGTTTTCCTTCTCTGACAGGTTTCCACCTTACATAGGTTCTGGCTTTCTCAGATTTTCCTGTATATCCTTAAATTCTTTGGTTAAGTTTATTAGTTTCTCTACCAGACAGTGGGTATGGCCCACAAGTAAGGAGTGGGTGGGAAAGGTTCAGGAGCCTGGAGACTTGTACTCTCCTTGGGCTTCCATCCAACCTTCTGACTGCTCATTTAGATGCTAAAGATATGCTTTATTAAATCTGAGTTCTTCTTTGGCCAGGTAAGTTGGCCAGCTGTAGGTCCATGTAATATGTAGTGGACCGAATGTCTTGAGGAAGCACCCCTCAGAGCTTGGGATTCCATGCCCAAATTTAAAGAGGAAATGAAAAATTTGAGAAGTTCCTGTCATTCCCCACCACCCCTCCTAAAAGAAATTAATAAAACAAACTATTTGGCAGTTGTAGAATCTGAATAAGAGAGATGTAAGCCCC